GGAAGACTGAAGTATTTAAGCGTTTTTTTAAAATGTCTGTGTTGTAAATGTCTGTGAAATGAACTTCGCTTGTTTTGTTTTTTTTTCTTTCCCCCTTTTTTTTTTTTTTTTTTTTTTAGCTGAGCCATCCTGCCACCTGTTGGCAGCCCAGTGGCAGCTCATCCCAAGCCGGGAATCAAACCGCTAATTGCTCAGAGCTCACATGCTTGAGCGATCTCTTAACCAACTGAGCCACTCAGCTGGCCCTGAACTTTGCTTGTTTTAAAGTTTATGATACTAACTGCCAAGTGGCACCACTTCTCTCCCTTTCTTCTCTTGAACTCATTTTTCTTCCTTCCTTTTCCTTACCCCCTTCAAATTACTTCATTCTGCAGAGAACAACTATTACCAAGTCCCTGTTCTTAAAAAAATAAGTAACTTTTGAATAGAGCTGAGTTCTATAGAACATCCTTACTAGTCTGTTAATGTGTGTGACCGTGACAAGCTGTCACTTTGGTCTCTATGAGCCTTTTCCTGGTCTTTGAAGTGAGCACTTGGTTGCCTATCCTGGTTTCCTCACAAGTTTATTGTGAGAATCAATTGAAATAGTATAGTATATGAAGTCGTTTGAAAATGGGGACGAACTATTGAAATGTCAGAGAGCAGGCTTACTATAAGGCTAACATAGATCCAATCCCATTGTGAGACTTAACCATTGATCTTTTCTGAACACCTTCAAAATATAAATAGAAGCCACAACTGCAGGGGCAACTTCTGTAACCGAATTCAGGTATGAAGAAACTCCAGTCACCACATCCGGGCTGTTTTCTAAGTTAATAGGGTTAGGAAATTGGTCCCGTGGCTTAGATCAGAAATAGGGGTTGAAACATTTTTCCTGTCTTCCAAATACACAAGATCCTGATGAAATCTTGGTTTTATGCCTCTGGTCATCAGGGCAAACGTAAATACTGAAAAATAAATGTCGACCTCCTGGTGCAGCATGTTGCTTCCTGGTGAGAAATGATTCTATCCATTGTTTATTGGGAAAATTTCCAGTTGTTAATCAGTTTAATGTCGTGTTCAAATGAAACATGGAACATGAAGAGGTGGTAGTGCCTTCTTTTCCCTGTTGACAGGCACACTTCTCGGGATTCAATTCCTCATCAGCTGCTCAGAACATGCGTTTGCCTCAAGAACCCTGCAGAGCCCCTGCATGCCTTCCAACCTGATCCTTCCCTAAAACCTTTTCGTGTGATTCCCTCTGGTATGGAGAATGTTCTGCAGTCCGTGTTTTATAATTATTTGTTGCATAGTGTTTATTGAATTTAGAATCCAAGTTGTTTGGGGATGAGACCAGGACCTTGGCATTTGTAAATAGTATTAGCTAATATTAATAATG